TTTTATTAAACTTTTGACGCCTCGAAACTCTATGTTCATTCAGTGCAGTATTATGCAATACTTAACACAAATTGTGTATTTCACGTGATATATAAATATATTTGGTATTTGAACTCGAAAAAGATTATTAAGAATAAATTGCTAGACAGGAGAGAGAAATGAATAGGGAAATTTAGGAAAATATTTGGTAATATTTTCTGGTTCTTTTTAGACGAAGAAACGTATACATTGGTTAACTGAAAAAATAAGTTACTATTTGATAAGTATACTTACATGTGAGCTTCATGGAGATGTTATTAATTATGAGTGGCGAAAATAATATTAATTACGAGCAAGGAGCAAGGAATGGGAATAGTATTAATTTATAATGATTATTTAATTTTCCAATGAATATTGGTAAATTAGTAATTAATACCGAAGTAATTGTAATTAATCGTTTTAATTATTTCGTTTCGTTTACAATTCGTGTTGAGTACATGTAACTAGCTCGTGTTTTATTTTTATTGTTAAACATGAGAATGGACAATGATGATAAAAATAAATTCCATATATTAATGAAGTGAAACTCTGAAAATGATGAAAAAATATACCAACTACATTATCTATTATGCGATTAGTCTAAACAAAACAAGGCTGATAAATTATTTCTATTTATTCTGAAATATGAAAATTCCATTTACCGTTGTTTCCAATTGTCGTATGTTGGCATTATCTGCAGATAACAGGTATAGTAATGATAGGAGTAGCATAATATTTACGTCTGTTGCAAACATGTAATATTAAAAACTTGATAACTCCTCGAATCTTTGTTATTTAAACCTGAAACGTTTCCCAACGTATTTCGCGTAACTCCTTTTCTAGTAACTGAAATATTTTATTTACTATGATAAAGGTATAATTTTTATTTAAATTATTATATAAACATCTTTTTACACGAAAGGATAATGTACTATATTTTGTTATTAATTGCGGTTATGATTATATAAAAATAGTATACGAGACATTTTGTACATTTACGATTATAGTGTTACGTGTGCTTATGATTATATGTATTCATAACTTCTGCACACGCGATATTTGTACTATTTAAAAATGAAGTTATTGTTTCACAAGTAATTGTTTCTAGTATATATATTTATTTATGTAATTTATTACATAAATTCGTTACATTTATATAATTCTCTTATATGAAATGCCACGAATAACGTGCTATCTTTAATTTACTTATCAGTTGATATTTCTGTTAATATAAAAGAAATATTATCTTCATTTTTGATACGTTTTATTGAAAAATCGGAATGTCGTAGTTATCTTGTTTAAATACTTAGGAACTTATTAACATTAGCTTATATATGATTGCACATTCGGTAATGTAATGTAAATAATTGTGAAATAATTATACTCATATATAGAAGGAATAATACAAATTATTATTATTGAAATTAATGTAGACCTAGAATGAAAGAAGAAAATATTAAACTTACATTTTTGACTAAATTTTCGACTGAATTTTTTTGGGGAATTTTGAAGACTAAAAAATTAATTTATGTACATAATGATATATTTTGAGTGATATACCTGAAGCACGTGAAATTTTAAGTATTATATCGTTTAAAAAAAAACAGTAGCACGTAATGTACAATGAGGAAATACACTTTATCTTTGCTAAGTAAGATAAAAATTGTATACAAAAGAGAACATCATTGTTTTCACTATCTGTGAGGAAATATATTTTTTTATCATTATGAAATCGCTATTAATTTATTTATAAATACAATTACGCTATAATATTTGTTCGTAAGAAAATATTATATGAGAAGTTTCATAATTTTTTTATGAATTTTCTTTCTGTCTGCGAGCTATAAATTATACGATTTACATATAAAAGTGCAATTATTTAATAGTTCATGAATAAAAATTTAAGTCCTTGCACGTTAATTGCAAAATTACTTTTTGTTACAAAAGGATAAGTAAGTTAATACGTGATTTCATCTTGTTTTATTATTCTTTGTTATCCAGAGATTAAAAAGAAACCTAATGAATAAAATTAAAAGGTCAATAAACTGGTAAAAAATTTCACTAAAAGTTACCAACGAATTTCATTCGAAGGAATAAAATATAACTATCCAAAGTAAACAATTCAAAATTCAATTTAAAATAAGAATTTGGATTTAAAATAAGAAGCATTTTTTAAAAAAATAGAAAATATATAGTTTATTTATTATTCAGATGTAATGTAAGAATAAAATATTGAAGGTAAAGTAATGAGAATGCATTATACATAAAGTATTATTTTCTTGTGAAATTTCGAATAGTGCATACTGTGTGTACAATCTCATCGACATAAAAATTTGAATAAAATCGGTGACCTGAGCATTGTACTCTCCCATCGTAAATCCGATAATGGCATTGTGTCTTGCTTGACGTGCACTGTCATACTTTCTAATGTATAACGTTCTCATGACCTTCCTTTTTATCTCTTCTCCATGTATCATACCAGCAATACATTATAAACTTAAAAAAAAAAGAAAAAAAAAAAGAAGAAAAGAGAAGAAAGAAAATAAGAAAATTATATTAGAAATTATTCCAAAAAATTGTATTATATGTAGAATGAGTTATCAGTCCTTAGGGAATCGAAATATTTTTCATCATCATATCATTTATATTTACTGGAATACTAACATTATTATTTTTAATAATAATGTCAAAAATCAATACTGTATAATTTTGACAAAAAATTTATAATATCCAATAATTTAATTCAGTGGTGTTAAATAAAAATTTTGTAGAAGCTACGAATTTTCATAATTTAAAATAGACAAATTAAGTTTGATATTAAGTAAAATGTTGTAACTTCAGAGATAGTAATATAGTATATACTATAGTAAAATATTTTGAATAATACACGAATTATTTTCGTTAGTATATGAAGTAAAAAAGAAGGGAGTTTCCACAGATGTTTCAACAGTGATAACACTCGATGATATTGTGCCTCTGTAGCGAACCTCGAAAATTATTGATCGAAATGCCATTATATGAGTTTGGAAAAATGTAGGTCCATTCGCAGGCATAAATATTAATAAAATAGAGGGCAAAAGAATTAAATAATTAAGAACTTAAGAGCAACGTGTACATTCCTGAATATCAGTAATTTCTTTCAATCAAAATTATAATATTATCGAATTATACAATTTTTTATTTTATTGATATATTTGTTGAATTTTATTTTGATATATTGACGTATTGAAATAAGAATAAAAATTTATATTAAATTATTAAAAACAGATAACATTATATTTTATCAAGGGATTTAATTAATTATGTTATTTTAATAAAAAATATATTTCATAAGAAAATTGTGAAGCTTCGTGTTAATAATAGTTTCTTAATTTTTCGCTTTACTGGATTATATTTATCTCATATCTATGTATTGTCTATATAATTCAGTAAGTTGTTAAATATTTTAATTTATAAACTAGTAATATTAGTCTGGAAGATTATAATGTTTTATATTATGACTGAATAGTCACTATTTGCAATTTGAAAGTATAGAAGCATAATCTTTATGCAAGTTGAATTTCTCTTTTAAAAACATTATTAAATGAAAACAATTTAACTGAATATTTAATCGAATTTTATTTCATTTCCTGCATCATAAATACATAATTCTTTCCCATAAGTAGCAATGAAGAGTAGAATAAAATAGACTTTCTATTAACCAAATAAAAACTTCATGTTATATATTTAAAATATAATATATACATATAAATATATAAAACATATATTTTCAAGCATCAGGTTATTTAATATATAACATAAAATTCCGAATTAAAATATATATATTTCTGTACTTTTTATAATTATTTCATATTTTTACGGATATATATAAATATAATACGTATAATATTATAGAAGAGAACAATTCATAATCATTACATTGTTTAATTTTAATGTGTTTTTTATATTTGTTTATTTGTACTAGAGTGAATTCTTAATAATTTAAAACATTCTTTCGATCATATATGTTACGTTAATTATTGCTATTGAATTTTATATATAAGTCTGTACTGTTCTATAATATTACATTCTTTTGTAATTGTTTTTTTTTCTGTACAAGTTTTTATTCTGTTTGATTATTATTATATATTTGTTAGTTACAGATTAATTATTGATTGTAAAAGCAGAAATTCTGGAACAAATTATTTTAAATATGGAATACTCTGGTCTTTGTGTTATATCAGAAATACATATTTTATACTGTCCTGAAATACTGGCCCGAATGATTAATGTGATAAAAATTATCAGTGTGACTGTACCATATTATTCGATCAAAATTTTGTCATTATCAATATAGGCAATAATGACGAACGCATTATTGAAGTATCTATTTATCAGATACTTATTGACGAAATTATTTAACAATAAATTTTATTTTCACGATTAAAATGGGTTTAACTTTAAATATTATCTATTAATCCCTTTACAATTACATGTTTCAATTTTTTAAACATCCGTCTTCATTATCTGTTAATTAGGCAGTTAATATTACTCCCAATAGAGTTTCCATGAATTTTTATTCTTTTATGAAGAATGTACTATTTATTTCTCAGCATCATCCGATTAAAATGTTATTCAAACAAAATTCCTGTAACTTACCAAATTCTTGATTCAATTATTTAAAAAAAATAAGTATAAATTGTGAAATTAAAATGAAAAAAACCATAGTATTCTTATATATTTTTATATACCTTATTTTATTCTTCGACTTTATAACTCTACTTTCGAAAGTTTAGTATTATATGGATAAACTTATTGTTAGCCCTTTGCAATACAACGTGGAATCCAGCTCGTTATGGATTTTTCGTTCCAAACCCCATGGCTTGGAGATCAAGCTATTTCATAAAGTACGCATTAGTGATCATAAGTAACCAGTCTAAAAAAATAAATTACAGAAACAATGAAAGCAATGTTTCTAATGAATTTTAATGGATTTGTTTCAGTACACAATGCGCTAGGGGTGATGGAGACAGTGAGCAAGCAAGTCCAGGTAGTGAGCGGACTGGGGGTGGGGGGTCCGGTGGGCCCAGTGGGTCCAGTGGGGGCAGATTTGCATCACCATCATCATCCTCACCCCCACTCCCATCCTCCACACCCACATGCCCACCCCCACGGTCATCCTCACGGGCCCCATGGCCACTCACTGGTCGGCGTAACGTCGACCCCTGGCCGGGGTCAGACACAACCACCGGTCTCGCATAACCAGCATTTACCCGCGAGATCTACTCCGGTACAGCTGCATAGGTAAGTTATATTCTTACCTGTGTTCACCTATACGTGTGCATACGTGTTGCGTGTTATATATGTACGTATGCATCGCCATCGCGGTCACGTTGCACACCACAATGTCCGCGCGTACAGTGTACGATATAATTAAAGCTACGCGTGTACGCTTAATCCCGCGCGAAGAACGACTTCACTCGTCGTTTCAGCAAACACTTCCATAATGCAGGCGGGAGACTGTATGGGGGAATTAAGTAATTTCGTTTACGTTCCGGAGAACGATTTTTATTCCAGTCGGTGATTCAGTCGCGAGTTTTTCATTGATCCTTGATTTTAAGATGTTTGGATAGCTTAGTTCTTGCGGTGTTATGGTAATGATGCGTAGGTGGGTCTTAGATAGTTTATAATGAATTTGGCAGTTGAAAGGGGAAATGCATTTTGATAGAGAAGAGGGGGAAGAGTGATTTGACTGGTTGAATGTCCACGTGTAATTCGATGAGAAACAATTATAAATAGAATTGATTAAGTTTTACGAGTTGCAAATTAATTCTTTCATTACTGTAGCTTCCGAATTAAAAGCCTTTTTAATATGCAGATGCAATTGATTATGACAGAACGCATATAAGTGGAAATAAAATAATACTATATTATGGGGATTATATAAGTACATAGATGCATATGGAATTGAAATAAGTATAATTGAACACATTTTTGGTTTTTTATTGTAGAGACGAAATTTGATACATTTGATTGTAACATTATTCTTCTCTTTATAAATACAATGGTGTATTATCATGTCATATGATATATAATTTATCAAGATTTTATAAGAAGATAAAAATGTTAAACATGTAGGATCTTGAATGATAGCGTATTTATTCTTGTTAAAGTAAATACCCATATTTGTATCTTTCTTCATTTATATCAGGATTAATATATAGGCTTAATCAAGATACAAAAATTGCTCCGTTTTTCAGTTATTTCATCTTATTTCATGTATCATATTGTATAAGACATATAAGTTAATAATATTGGTGATACAGTACCACAATTTCATGGAAGACATAAATTTCATATTTATAAATTTTATGTTTTAAACAACTATATGCATTAGATATATATGCACTAAATTTCATTAAATATGGTAGATTTTAAAGATTGCACTTATCATCTTCGATTTATATTGAATAGGTACTTTTACAGTTATTGGCAATAATTAGCTAATTTCTTTTAATTATTGATCATCATTCATTGAAAAAATTTGTTCGATAAAAAGAATCATATTAATTCTATTACAATTACATGCATAATTTTATTAAAATGTTATTCTATTTTTTTAAAGGTTAATAGAATAAGTTTAAAATTCGTTAGTTAATAAAATCCAGTATTACACAAATTTATAAAAACTGATTAAGTTTCAGGAATAAAATAAATACTGCAATAATTAAATAAAATTTAAAAAAAAATTTTAATTGTATTAGTTACATTTTTTAATTAATTTTTCTCACTTTTCTTATTGTAAGTTAAATATTTATAGTATATCCCTACTGATTCTTGTTTCTATACTTTATTTCTTTAAACATATATATTAAGTCCACGTACACATTAGATGAATTTAAATTTACTAATTTACAAACATAAATTAACATATAAACATATTAAAACATTTTGTTAATGCATATGTACATTTTATTCACATATTTTTTAATATTTTTATATTTTTATATCTACTTTTGTATTTCCAGTATTTTAAAGTCTAATAATACAATAATCATTTGCAATATATTGTATACATAGCATAAGTTCAAATATCGAAACTTGAAATACGCGGTAAACAGAATATTGAAGTTGGATGCGTAACATACGTTTGGTGTACTGCGCATGCGTTCCTCCAATTTTACCACTACTGCTACCTGTCGATTCTAACCTCAAACGTCAACGTGCAACGTTGATTTTTAACCTCGCAAGGTTTACATTTAAGATTTACAGTTTTCTAAAATATATATATGAACGGTTGTGTGGTGTATTTTAATAAAATTATTAAGGTGAAACTGCAAATTTCGGAAACGCAATGTACCAGATGTGTGAATGGAGAATGTGCGCGGAAAGAAAAGATTTCTTTGAAACTCGAGATTGTTCGTTTGCATGATGAAGTAAGTCCACGCAGTTATTTTTGTTATGTCGTTCGTTGTTCCTCTCACGCATTTATATCATTGTATTATTTGTTGATATATCTGCATAGCTTGAATCCTTATCAGTACATTACATTCCTGACAATTGTACCAATCCCGACCACGTAAATGATTTTCTCAATATCTATATCATGTATTTATGTTGGGTACAATCGTAAAACGTGTTGTTTATTTAATGATTTATTCTTTCATTCTGAAACGAAGGTTTCGATTTTCCATACTATACAATTTGACCAGAGTTTATACTATTATTGTACGAAATTCTATAAAATAACTTTAGTTTGCTTTACAAAAATATAATGTAGGATAGTCACCACTTGCGCGTAAAATATAAACTAAATAATGTGTAAAACGCGGGAAAACCAGTTAGGTTAGGTACGATGTGATGAGTACACAAATGATCCGAGCAATGCGGAGAAATACAGTATATATCATGTACATATATGTGTGTGTATATCGCATGTGCGTGTATATATATCTCTGTGTGTATATGCATATATTTATTTACATACTTATATGTACTATGGATTATAAATCTGATCGACAAGCTAGACAAGGCTTATATAAAGAATAGGGATCGAATAAAATTAAATATTAGCTCATTATAGTTTTTGAAATCTTGAATTCGGTACTTTATTCAAATAATTTCTTTTATGCGTATTAAATTATGTTTAGAAAAAGAAACAAATATGTTAGATAATATGGACAGTCAAAAAATTCTACCCGTTTTTGACCCCAATATTACATTACTAATTTATAATTGAATTGCTGAAAAATGGCAATAAGTGTGGAAAGAGAAAGCTAACAGTGGGTCGCACGGCGGGGAAAAAAAGATGGCGGTGATGGCGGAAATGCACATTTTTTACCTGTGAATAGGCAAAAAGAAAAAAAAAAGGAAGAAAAGTAGTATTAACGTAGTACTTTGTATAAATTAATTGCAAGAGGAAATTCATAATTGGAGCTTTATCAGTGGTAATACTTATATGAAGATTGAAAATAACCGATTTCAAGTAATATATTCATTTATAAATAATTTGTATGCAAATTTATACGTTTTTAGAAATATGCTTATAATATTTACCTTTTTTCTTTTTACTAATTATGAAATGCTTACAAACTTACATTAAAATGACTGGGACATATTTTCGAGAGGAAATAAACGTGGAAAGAATCAGAGACATTAACGGAGGTGAGAAAGAAAAGTAGAATTGGTGGAAGGGGCTCAAGGCTACGTTGATTTCTATTTCCTGCAATTCTCTTTTCGAAGAGAACAGAAACATATACTTCTTAATATTTCATTTAATTGTTTAATAAAAATTTAGATATCGTAAAATTGCCTTAGATATTATCTAATAAACAATTATTGATTTGATACTAAAAATACTGTTTTATAATTTATGAGAAGGTTAGCGGTATAATATTTAATAATAGATATTAATTTAAAAATTATAAATAATATACAATTACCAGAATGTCCCAGAATGTTGATTTTTACACTTTGTTTCAAAATTCACCATAATTTTTTATTTTATTGTTGTTTGCTTGAATATATTATTTGTAATAAAGCTATAAGTATTACAAAACTCATAAGTATATCCAGGATATTCGTTATTCCATGTGTAATTTTGTATTCTTTTTTATTTACAAATTTATTCTGACACATAATATAAAAATATGTGTCATTGATAAATGGGGATATAATTTCTGCTTCGTTCTGACATGATGTATGTAACGCCATATAATATAGATGTTTTCCATGTTTTTTTCATATTTTGGATATGTTCATTGTCTGTTATACATACATTCTGACCTTTCATATTTACTTTTGCCATTTGGCACTATCCTCTTTCTTTTTAATTATTTCTGAATCTTTACTATATTCAATATGAATACAAATATAAGAGATGTCAAAAATTGAATTATTTTTTCAAAATTCTGTTATTCTCAGTACTACAGGATCTAAAATTTCTACGTTAATTTTGTATCTTTATTCATTATTGTATTCTTTATTAATTAGTGTGTTGTGTCTTTTCAAGGGCGGTAGTTTATTTCTCATCTAAATATGTGTATTAAATTCATCAACATTAAACCTGTACAGGTTCACATATACAACTTACACGTGTATGTCATTCGTGACCTACGTACATACATAACGTTCTATCGCATGCGCATCATTCATAAAAGGGAAAAAGAGTAGGTGATACATGGGAGGGAGAAGATTTTAGAAGTGGGAGGAGGGGGTCAGTGACCGTTACATCATCTGGAACTCATAGTCTAGGGAAATTCATAAAGCCGCCATTCAATTACGATTACAAATTCAAATGTGAAAAAAAAAAATTGGAATTTAAATTCAACCAATTTGTTAACGCGAATCACATTGTATACATTGTATACAAATTCTAGTACCGTAGTCATTTTTATAATGTTAATTCCTTATTAATATAACGTTTCTTTATTTTATGCTACTCAAAGTGTACTTGTAGCAATTTAACTTTCTTTTTGCTTCAATTATAATTATTTATGTGAAGTCGTTTATGTTTGATGTTTTTCAAAATTTTTTAAATGTAATTTTTCGAAGTAAAATTTAATATTTTGAAATTTTGTTAAAGAAACTCAATGTTATTAACATACTGTAAATATTTCTATTATACATACACATCATAGGAAAGATATTTCAAATCTATTCAAGATATAAACTTGTAAAATATTAATAATTAAATCATTAGTTATGTTTGTACATGTATTGAACAATTAAATGTTTTTCTATATCTTCTAAAATAATCTTAATAACAATATACAGTTTTACAAAATTTGAAAGATGCAAATATCTTAAGAAATATCTAAAATTTATAAAAAAATTACCAAGTTTTTTCTAGAGAAGTTTTCTAGAGACTTTTCTAGAGATTTTTCTAGTGACTTTTTCTAGAGACTTTTTCTAGAGATTTTTCTCTAGAATGTAGATTACAATGATTTGAAATATGTATTTATTCATTTATTTTGATGTACTATACCTTCATAAGAAATACAATGGATTTTGTTTAACGTGTACAAATATCAAGTTTAGTTTCATTCTCGCATCGAATACGTCCATCTTAAGTGTGATTTTATTTAGAGTTGAAATTGTGCGTAACTGTTTACGTTTCATAAACACTTATTACGTTATTCTTTATTCAAAAGATAAAAGAAATACGATAGTAAATCGTTTTGCATCAAATAACGCATAAAATAATTTACATAATCTTGAAAAAAAAGTGTCTGTAAACATGATATTGGCTAACGTCGATTAATCCTTCACCATAATCCGCCAACGAATAATGCTAGGAACGCTTGGCGAGCCTCGAATGTATTCGACGATGTGGCAACGTCGCGACAGCAACGTCGCCTTACGAAAGCAGACAGGAACATTCACCCTTTGTGATGTTCAACGCATGCGCAGTCATTCTACAGAGAATAGGTACCGATGCACCGGCACGCGGAACCATGATCTGTGGAATACTGCGACATCGCATATCGTTATATCCTACGACGCATGCGTGGCGTATTTTGCCACATGTGACAAACTACCGCCGAAAGGTCGTGTATCTACTATTCTGCCATACATATGTATATCCAATGGGTTGATTTCACGTGAAGCATATTTTTACCGCATGACGCTATTGGTTAGTTAATAGTCATCCGTCATTTTTTATATATATTTATTTTTCGTCTATATTTTTATACAAAAATATTATTTGTATACATCTCTTTTTTGTTATTTTCTCTTATATGAAATAACATTTTTCTATTTAAATCCATCTACAGGATTTCTTACTTTACTTATTTGTAAGACGATTAATTTTTGTCGTTTAGACTTGATTATATTTATACATACGTATCAGGCAAAATTATCTATATATGTATAAACATATTGAATTACGTTTAAGTTACATAAAAGCATTTTTAGTTTAAAGAATTGGTAGGTAATTTGATACTACTTGTACACAGTTTATTTGATATTTCAATTTTATTTTATGTAAAAAATATGTGCTTTAACTTACACATAAATTAGATAAAATCTTGTAAAAAAATTAAAATTTTGTTTAAATCAAAATTTATAAAGATTTTAACACTTTTTCATAGAATGTAGAAATATACTGTCTCATAAATATTTCTCGCAACTATTATGCCAACTGTCATTAATAACAACGTAAATGCAGTTGCTGCCATACACATAAGTATTTAGAAACAATGTATTCGCAAGTAGTTTTGTTATTTCTACTTATTTATCAGACTTCGTATATCATACAAGACTATCCTACCTGTTCTGTATACAACAGTAATGCATGAAACATCAAGAAATATAATCTGAGGAAACCGTTACCATTGTACGAACGTGAAGTATTTAATGCTATTTTCTCAATAGAAATACAAAGTACATACATGTATATACATGTGTATGTACCATAAATAATCGTGTTAGAAATATAATACTGCAAAAATGATTATAATTTTAGCACTTTTATCAACATAATAAGTATATGCATATATAAAATCTTTTCTTACAGTACATTATTAAATAATTACTCGATTTCCTTTTTATTTGTTGAAATTGCTGGTCCGAACGATGCACACACACATTTGTTTTGTATTTTTCTCATCAGTTATTTTCCAAGAACGGTTACAATCTCAATTCCCTGCCTCGATAAACCATCTTAAAATCCTACAAAAAATATATGATACATTAAAAAGAATCTAATTTCTTATCTCATACAACTTACTTGGACTGTCCAATTCGCGAATAATGATCACGTGACACGTTCGAAATATATACGTTGACACTGCCGAAGAGGCACGTATAATCATATCTTTGATATAATCCTAAGACAGAAGTATTTGTACGTTCTCATGTTTTTTTATAAAGATATCTATTTTTTAAGTTTTATATTTCATTTTCAAGACATCATATTTATGATATAACATAAAGACACTATTAGATCCCTTTGAGCCTCGTCAGTCACTATATATACGTATCATTCAAAACAAATACAATAGTATATTTTTGATATACTTAGCACATAATGTATCTTTTTCAAAATTAATGATTTTCAAAAGTCCATGAATACGTATCTTACAATATAAAAAATTATAACGAGTTTTAAAAATGTCTTAGTCGTACGAAAATTTTTCATTAATATGATAACCTCTTTCGGTGAATTGTTAATTTTCCCGCCGACGTCCTAAGTTAGCTGTGTAACTCACGTTCCGAATGTTTACAGGCCGGCGCAGAGTTATGTAAACATCAAGAGCAGCAGCCCTGTGTCTCCAAGAACGATAGGAGCAGGAGTGACGTACGTGCAGCAGGGTGGTGTGGCAGCATCTTCAGTGGCGGCAGCGGCGGCGGGGACGGCCGGAAGTGGAAGTGGCGGAGGTCCTTCAATCGGCGGTGGTGGCGGTAGCGGCGGAGGTGGCGGTGTTGTTAACAACGCCGGTGGTGCGAACAGCGGAACCGGAGTCGTTGGGGCTGGAGCTGGTGCCGGCGCCGTTGGAAACGTAGCACCAGCCGGAAATGGTAACAACAACGGTACCGGTAACAGTGCTGGTGCGGGGAGCAACAGTGGCGGAAACAGCGGTACAGTGGGTGGTGCACCAGGAGGTTACGTTGCTGTACCTATGGCTGGTAGTCTTCGGTACATTCATTCGTATCCGTCAACGCCAACGTCGGCGTCGGTGCCGGCTGTAGCAACAATGGTTACCTCGGCTTCGTCGGCACCGACTCCTGTGCCAGTTCCAGCACCCGCAGCTGCACCTGCCAATCCACCTACAGTTAGTCAAACACCACCACCATTGCTTTCGGGAACTGCTTATGCCGCGAGAGATGCATATCGCAGCGCCACCACGAATGTAGGTATTTTCCTATTCGATTTATCCCACGATAAATCGTTGCGCGCGCATTTTGTTCGTCCTGTTGCTTTCCTTTCATGCGTTGCCAGCAGATTTTGATAGGCTTAGCGCATCAAATACACGCCGTGTTGTTGATCGGGGTAAATTGAAACGCGTAATTTAATACATATGTATGTTTACGAACAATATTGAATATATGTACCATATGATAATCTTCTGTAGCTAATTAAATGTGTCGAACGCGTTACATCAAATGCGCATATTGTGTCCGCTCTGCCCTTGACTTTCAACCACTAGTAGCCCTCCCTCTGTCTTCTTCCGTCTAGCAATGTGATCTACTTTCTTTGTCGTGAATGTTCCACTGTTCTGAATTAATTTTATCGTAACATTCAAATTAAGGAGCATGGTGAAATTGTGTTTGATAATTTTATAAATAATTCTGTTATAAATATAATTTATAATTTCAAATTTTGATAAAATGTCAGGTACACGTAGCATAACATCAATATTCAAATTATTACATGGTAAATTATTAACGTAGTTTAAAATTTAATTCTTGTTTCATCGAAATATTTTCCATGTAAAATTTAATTTTGATGCAACAGAATAATTGTAAGAAGTTGTATTAAAGAAATTTACTAACAGAATACATGATAATAATATAGAAGTGTACTGACTAATATCGAGTATAGTAATGATGATTAAGTGAAAGTAGATGTAGTAACATATGTATAATCATATTCCTCGCATTATATATCTTTTGTCATTCATTTTTTATTAAAAAAGAGAAATGAACATGAAAAATTTGAAATTGTTATAGTTTAGTCGAAAACAGTCGTTTATTATTTCTTATTTAATTACATATTTAACCATTAATCATCTTTTAAGATAAACGATATTTCATATATGTAGGTAACATTAGATACACGGTCTGGTAAGGCTTCATGTATGTTATCTCTTTGGGTGCAAGATTAGTATCTTAAGGCATGTAACAAAAATGGAGTGACTAAAAACGGAGTTTAGTCATAATACGAGTGCAAGGAACGTATGACGGTGTTGTAGGTATATCGATAGTCTACCGTCTGCCCTCTTGAACCGGGTCATCGATTTTCTTGAAATAGGTTTGCGTTGAGAAGGTTAGGCAAGATAAATTGAATAAAACGCACGATGAGAAAACATTAGAACACATAAATATATTCAAATGAACCGAGAAGCAGATAAAGATAGGATAGAGAGAGCGAGAGGGGGGGGGGGGGATACGATGCACTTGAAAAGAAAGAACATGTTCTGATTGTAGTAATCTTTCAGGTGAACGAGAGGATCGCCATCAGTGTGAGCAGTAGTCCTCTGTCGCAGATAGGAGTCGGCGTTGGAGTAGTTGCAGCCGAATATGCAGCGAATAGCGGTATAGGTAGTATGGCCAGTGGAAGAGGGGATAGACCGAGGATATCTCTTTTGCCACCTGCTTCGGTGACGCCGACACCTTCACCGACAGCACCAGATTATCAGCACGTGTCCAGTGCAAGAAATTCACGAATAGCCCTGATGCCCGTCCAGATGGATCAGTATTGCAACCGTACGCCCGTTGAAATGGCCAATCTGCAGGAGGCGCCGCCCTTCAAGAAGATACGCCTCAGTCAACCGACCCAGATTCAATTGCAGTCTCAATCGCAATCTCGCTGTCATAGTTTGTCACCCGCTGACCCTTGCGTTAAGCAGGAGCACGTGGTGCAGTTGCAACAACCACTTAGGATAGACACTAGGGTGGGTACATAGGTACATGCGCGTACAGGGTGATTTAAGATGATTGCGAAAAACCTTGACATTTAGCAGATTGTTTTGGAGATAGCTTTGAGAAGAAAACTATATTATAAACGTGAATTCTATTACCGGTATTTATGTAGGTACAATTACTTAACTTGCTGACTGCCGCGTCATATAAATGTAAATAATTCCCATATCTTCTCTAGAAATTTGTCATTTGTATTTGATATTATTATAGTGTTATGCAATTGAACGTACGATATAAGAATGCTGTTTTAATATTTAGTTAGTTAAAATTTCATTGTTTAACATGATATAATGTTTGACGAATTAAGAGAAAAAATAGTGTATCTCGACTATCTGCAAATTTGATTTTTACTATTGTAATACTTTAGATACACTTGAAGTACCCATGCATTGTTGTATTAAAGAATACCTAATGAACAAAATAAAATTCATATTAAAGAGTCATACTTCGTAATATAATTTGTTGGTTTATCAAAACTATGATTATATCTATGCTCAAGAAGCATTTGTTATAAGCTTTGCGACTTTATTGTTGTCCATTATGTCTCAAAATTATTATAATTATATAGTTAATGAGTTTATATTTATATAGTTTTACTTAGGGTGAACTCCAAAACAATTTTTAAAGGTTTTTTAACTGTTAGAAGTATTTTGTACACCTACTTAAATATATTTGTACTGAAAGGAATAATATTTTCGTTTTATGTGATATTATATGAAAAATTTTTGCTAGGAGCAGCCGGCAACAGAAGCGTATACTCCGCAGACCGAAGCGATCTCACCCACGCTTCCGGAACCAAATACGCAAGAAGATGCACAGTTTAGGAGCACTAAGGATGACCTTCTACAGCAAATCTCTAAAGTCGACAGGGAGATTGCAAAAAGGGAGTCTCAGATAAATAAACTTCGGAAAAAGTTGAAAGAATTAGAAGAGACGGCTAATAAACCTCTCGAAGCCAGCGGTCTTAAACGTCAGGTTGAAGAACAGTCTCAGCAACCAAAGCATCAGTCTCTGGCACAAAAAATTTATGCTGAAAATAGGGTAAGATCTTAGTATAAATTTAACATTTGGTTTAACTTATGTTATGCATAATGTACGTTTTATGTTATATCAAATTAACCTGTTAATTGGGTAAAATAAGTTAGCTCATCATTTGAAAATGACTCCTGCATAGAGATAAAATGAGGTGATTCATTGTGAACATCTGATACTTACATAATTAAGGAAAGAATGAATACATCATTTGTTTCCTCAACTATAAATTAATTTTCAAATTATAATTGTAATTAGTTGCATCATTAGAGGGTAAAAAATAATTGTTAAGTTCCTACACCGTATTTCGATATCAACGTATTATATAACATTAATTTCCTCCTAATTTTACATATTATTTGCCAACAAACTGTTATATTTAATTTATATATTGCTATAATTGTATAGGAATTAAAGCATATTATATTTAACATTAGTAAAATGTATTATCGTTATTAAGTAGAAGACGTTAATGTACGTTTTTTAATTAAAAAACAGTTATATGAAGTATATTCAAATTATGTTGCTATCATTTTCTTGTAATGTCGGAATTAACTTATTCGTAGGAGTGTTTTTAAAATAATAAATATTTTAGTTAATTTAGTAGACTAAATTAAGATCAATTTTTAATTTTTACACATTTTCTTGGAATATTATTTCTCAAAATTTAATAACATTTTAAACTAATATTACTGATAATATTAGTTTCTTTTCAAGACTTATCATTCAATATCGATTGTATTAGTTAGTTTAATAATATATAGTAGTGGTTTGATATTATTTATTAATACAGAGATTCATACATTACGCATATTAGTTGTAAATAACGTGACATTAAATTTCTAATATTTGACTAAAATTTTATATTAATTACAGAAGAAGGCAGAAGAAGCTCATAGACTCCTAGAGAGGCTGGGTCCAAAAGTGGAATTACCTCTGTATAATCAGCCATCAGATACAAGTGTGTATCAAGAAAATCGAACAAAACACCAAACGTGTATGAGAGCAAGGCTTATAGCGAGGCTTCGACGAGAACACGCTGAACGCGCATCTCTTCATCGGCAACAGTCACAAACGTACGCTATTTTGGTACAGGAATGGCATCGTAAAGTAGAGCGATTGGAGGCAACGCAGAAAAGGAAGTCGAAAGAAGCGAAAAATCGCGAATTCTTTGAAAAAGTTTTCCCTGAGTTGCGAAAACAAAGGGAAGACAAAGAACGTTTTAACAGAGTCGGTGCTCGTATCAAGAGTGAAGCTGATCTAGAAGAAATTATGGACGGCCTTCAAGAACAAGAGGTATATTATTATTTTATAGCGATAACATCGATATTTTATAACGTTACAAAACTAATTATATGATATATTTAAAAGAGGAAACTAAGGGGAACTTTATAAGGGTTATTACAAGGCTTAAAGAAAAAGTTAAAAAGTCGATATTATTATAAAACTAATCAGCTATTATGCCTAATAGATAATTATAACAAAAAGTGTGACTTAATTATCATAAGTTATCGAAACAATATAATTATTTCAGGAACAAAATTTATATTGCCTTATTTAAAAAATATGCAAATTATGTAGCAATTATGTAGCTGTTTCATAATGTTATGAATGTGAAGTCTACCTTTGATAACATACTTTAAAGAGTAGCGCTATGTTTATATAATAATCAATAATTTTTTTACGAAATAGTATAAATATATTTTCTTGCAACTTCATATAACAAGATAGTAATTCATAAAGTAACAATGTCTCTATGAAGCAGCAATATTTGTAGATTCAAAATGTAATTCAGCATGTAAATCAAATCTGTTTGAAAATTTTGGGGTTTTAACATGTAACTATAATTGTAGTACTAGATTTGATTCATATATATACTATACAATCATGTAATCATATTTTTATGGAAAAATTGAATGACAAAAATAATTTCTTATAAAAAGTAAATTAAACTACAGTTTAATTTTTTCTTAATTACAGTATAATATTTTTTTTTTGTAGAAGATCAAGTTTAGTTATATATCTATTGGTTGAAGTTAATTTATTGTATAATAATTATTCCTTAAATTATTTTTATAGATGGAAGATAAAAAGATGCGTTCGTATGCAGTAATACCTCCATTATTATTGGATACAAAACAGAGACGAATCGCGTTTCAAAATCGAAATGGTCTTCTTCAACCGGAAGAATTAGAGGCTCTTCACAGTGAACGAAAGTTAATTAACGTATGGAGTTCTGTGGAGCACGAACTGTTTAAAGAAAAATATTTACAACATCCTAAGAACTTTGGAACGATAGCTCAATCTTTAGAACATAAGTCCGTTCCAGATTGTGTGCATCATTACTACCTCACTAAAAAAGCAGAAAATTATAAGCAGCTCTTACGAAAGTCGCGGCAACGAACACGTAGCTCTCGAAACAATCCTAATAATAAAGTAAGTTTACTTATAATTTGTTCTACATTTCTTACTGTGTATAATTGTATATTGGTTTATGAATGCAGCGATGTATATTTGTATATCTTTAATTACTAACAATAAGGAATTTATTTATCGCGTTGTATTTCGTTTAAATTTTCTATAATTTTGCTTGTATAGAAAAGATTATCTTTCCGTCATATTAAATTTTATCACAATGCACAAATACTCTTAATTCATCAAAATTCAATGAAATTAATTTAGTATGAAACTTCTAATGTTTATAACTATTTCATTATCAATTTATGAAAAGTTTTTGTTATAGATACTAACATATAAGATTACCAATTTATTAATCTTTTTCATCACTTTCTTTCAGGTAAATAATACCAGTTCAAGTATTGGAACTCTAGATATTTTAACTACGGGTGTTACGACAAGGTTGCAACGTGAGCAACAACAAAAAACACAAGAGAATCCTCAAAATAGTTCGGCAGCGACATCAACTACAACGACGACGACTACGACTACGTCAAGCGTATCAACGGCTGTTGCGGCAACAATAGTGACAACTTCGACAACTCCTTTAAATTCATCAACGTCGAGTATATGTTTAACGACTGACTCCGTAATAGCATCAACGACAGCTACAACGACATCCGTATTGAGTACTACGACATCGTCTGTCACAACGTCATCGACAACAACAGCGAAGGATAATAGGGAAATCAATAAAGAAAACAAAGAAAGTAAAATGGAGTCGAAAGAGCCGCACCTTATTAAAGTAGAAGTGAAGGAAGAACCACAATTAAGTTCCGAAGCAGGGTCAGGAAAGGACGTCAAAGTAATGTACGTAATATTTTCTTTTTCTTTGTAAATATTTCTAATTAGATAAATAGAAAATATTCGATACATATATATTTTCGTAATATGATAGGACTATGTAATAGAATGTAGCATGGATATACAATATTTAGTTAAGAAAATCGATATCTCATTTTTATCTCGCAGAGAAATCGAAATCAATCGGTATTGAAATAGTAGTGAAGAAAATAAAGTAGTCAGAAATTAGAATAGAAATTAGAATTCCAGTTAACTACTAGAATCGGAAGAAACCTCAAAATTCAAATTAAAATTGTCTATAATTATCTGTGTGAATCTGAAAACATTATAACCTCAAATAAGTTACAATGTAATTTTATTTCGATTTAATGTGTTAGGTTATTTTGATTTTTTCAATCGTATTGATGTTTTCTTCTGTCTTTAAAATGGAAGTATTTACAACTTTGAGAAATAGTGATACTATAGTACTTTTTACAAATAATTTATTTTTAATTTTTATTTTGATTTTAATAATATCATTCGTTATTATAATCTCTACTTCAGCAGTTATAATCTAATTATTGATACATTTTCAACAATCATATAATTTTTCTCATACTTTTATTTTTACCTCTGTTTGCAATATTGACTATTTAAAATTATTTATAAAATAATCAGTAAATAAGAGCTTAAACATTTTAATTTTGAATGAAAATCGTTAATATATCAATTTTAATAACAATTTATGTTTAAAAATAATATATAATGTTTCATACATTATTTTGTAGGAAGTATTAGTCAAAATTTTATTGTATAAAGTGAAGAAGAACAATAATTTATTAATTTTCATAATTTCAGTTCTTATTAATGCATAAATGACATAACAGGTTTACGAGATTAAAATATGAATTAGAAAGTTTTAGACAAATGGATCTTTCAACTCTGCTGTTTAGAGGTAACTGAACATTCATTATTGCAAAAGATGCAATTCATGAAAAAGAAAGTGGCGTAATGTAGAGATTTATCAGATTGAATCATAATTTTGAACGGCATAAGATTTGCTATGACTTTCTCGCTTAGATGAATAGATGTGAGGAATGAGATAAATAATGGTCACGTCTGATTTAGCATTTGGTACCTAGAATTTTGATCCAACCGATATTTCAGTTGTAAATATATATGCAGAAAAATTCTCAGCAGATAAATTGTTTCTATTCCTATTTCGATTATATTTGGACACTATAAACTTTAAAATAGTTTGTAGTAACTAAATGATTAAGAGGTCATGCTTCATGCTTTCATACTTTATATAAATTACGTTAGACATCTATTAACCCTTTAGCTTACAATATTCTGTAGAGACTCATGGTAGGGAAATCAAGCTAAACATAAATATCATGGGTAAGAGGTGTGATTTGTAAATAGGGCCCATGGTAAACACTACGAATTAGATTCGTGTCTTTCTGTTACATGTTATTATTCACTGTGTTTGCACAAAATGGCTCGACGTGTGACAGACGTTGCTGTTAACTATGGCACGTATCATCGGAATCTAAGTGGTAAAGCAAGGGATTAATATAATATAAATTTAAAAAATATTACCATCATTACATATTCATATATGTAAGAAAATTAAGTTAAATATACAACAAATATGTATGTAATATATCATGTTTTTTGTATGTAGTGCTTACTTTATAAAATTACAAACCAGTATTTTGTGGATGAAGGTTTATATGGCTAAAGTATAAAAGTATTTTCATTGGACAATTTCATAATTAAAAGAGGAAGATATTTAATTAATATTTAATAAAAAATAATTCAGTTATAACAAACGAAATATTTACTTTGTATAATACCTCTAATTTAATTAAAGATTAAATAATATGTAGAGTCAAGTAATATGTAGAAACTTTTTGAATATAATACTTGACAGGAAATACATATTTCATCTCTGAATAAACTAAAGCACCCTAGTTAGTATTTTTAGAGTTAGCAATGATTTATAGCAATCTAAATTATTTCATAAATGTCTGCCTATGTTTAGACTATTTTATGTCTGAAGCTTATGTCATACGTACAGGTCATTTTCAAAATATATGTGTTACATATAGCTTCCTATCTATAAAATAGCAACTTGTTTTGACAAATTATATCATTTATGTGAAGAAGTTAAACGTAATCAAATACACCATATAAATATCAATTTCAATTTTCTATATCTTCATTCCATTTAATAATTTTCAATAATTTTCTTAGATTCATTTTCCTGTACTGAATCAGCAATATAGATTTATTCATTTCATTCGCATACAATAATGATGTAATACATTTGATTTGTCAGATTAATATTAATACTAAATAAATTAGCAGTGACATTTTGAAAGCCTATATATATACAGTATAAAATGATATAAAAATAAAATAAAGTATATTTTAAAAATTTCTTAAATAATTTTTAAAAGATTTAACGTAACGTTTTATAGATTCTTATTTTTTCAGGATTTACAATTGAAGGAATAATCGTAGTATAAAGTTACTTTAGAGATTGCAATTGGTATAAAAGCACGTAGATTGATTGAACGGGCTCATCTTACGAAAGATATTCATTGTGTAAACAGACCAATTTTATGAACTATTCTAATCATTACTTACTATATCCAATTTATTAAAAAATGATCTACGAAACTTGTTCAAACATGGGTTGAAAATCAGTGACTTTTTTAAACAAAAATCCTACAATTTATTTAGCTCTTTAATTTTTTAAATTTATTCAAAAAATAAAGAAATTTATTTCATTTTCTTAACGAAACAAAGTCCGTGTTAGAAACATTATAAATTTTATAAATTCTTTAGATTTTGTTTTTGTCAACTTTTACATTTTTTAAATTGCATAGTTCATTACTATCATTATAAGAAAATCATATTATTATAAGAAAAAATTCGAAATGTTCTTTAACTATAATTATTATATTTTATTTTTTTATAAGACGAAGTCGATTATTTTAAATTTTTTAATTCAGATTTGTTACTGCAAATAACTAAAATATATCATCCTAATTTTGTTGAATGATATAGGGGTGTATATGTAGTTATATAGAATAGTTATATATAAAATTTTAATTAATTTATGAATTTTTGTTGAGATATCAGGAACAACGCCAATTCGAAAACACATTTGAGAAAAATAATATTCAAACGTATTCATTGAGAATCTACGTGGCTTCGTCGGTATCTCTGAAATTTACTCACGTATATCTCATTCACTTTGCTGCATTTCGAAAAATGCCAATTTTTTTATTCACTTAAAATGAACAAATATCCTCATAACAATCACAATGAATATACGAAATTACTTATACGCAGGAGCAATTTAATCGACTCTTCCGCTTTTAAATGTTTTTCTCTCATAATTTACATCCCACGTTTAACTTTTTATAACGAAATCTCTGACGATAAAAATTAATTTAATAATACCAATGCAAACAGCGATAATTATAATTGCGACACGGCCACGATTCTCGAAAATTGAGAAAAAAGAATGGGGGGGGGGGGGGGGGGGACGGGAAAAGAGTGTAGATAAATCGTTGAAGCGTAGGGTGAAAGATAGGGGTGGGCTTGGGTGAATGGATTGTAGATAGGGGGAAATAGAAGGTGGTGGTAAAATGGAGGTTCGAGAGGGAAGGCAGGGTGGTTATTAGCAGAATGTAATGCTAATCAATGGTTACTGGTTAGTGGATTATGTTTACGTAGGCATTCATCATCGAAATGGAGTCGATCGTTGAAAATCTGATTCCAAACCGCGTGAAGACCAGAATGTTGATTCCCCTCGTTCGTTTAGATATGATATACAGAGTATTTTGTTAATTCTCTCGAATTATTGTATTTATGGCATCTGGGCGAATTTTTTTTTCTTTTTCTTTCCTCTTATTTATCTATTTTCTCTTCTTATTCTATCACAAAAAATAATTTTTTAAATGATATGCAAGAAAGACATATTAAATTGCGGTTAGAGTACTGAAATTTTAAGTAATGAAAAATTGTTGAGCAAAATATTTAATATTTTTCTTTTTGTTCTTTAAAATGAGATAATGTTATAATAGTTGTAAATAGAATAATTTTACTACCAAATTCTTTTTTGTTATATAATATTCTGTCATCGGTTTTTTTTAAATATTTTTTTTTCTTAATTTGTTTAATTTGTTGTATTTTATTTTTTAGATTTATAGATTATTTGGAAAAATATTTCGACATATGAATACAATAAATTTTTAATAAATATTGATCATATAGTTTGTCATACATATATTGTCTTTAATGATAGATACACATGATTTAATGTGAATTCAATAGAATTATACAGGAACAAATTAAAAATTATTTATTATATTATTTCTTTCTAATATGCAATTAATTTGTTTAAATATTTATTTAAATTTATTAAATACCATAAGAAGGTATATTTGATATCCAATCGAGTTCATATTACTTAAACTTTTATGAAGAATGTCAGAAGAATTTTCAGTTCTTCTTATTTTATAATTAAAAATTTTCAAGCAAATTAGATTCTATACTAAACATACAGCGCAGTAATAATATAGCAGTAGATTATCATTAACAAATAAATGTTAACGACTCATTTGTATAACAATAATAACCTAATTTTCATAAATCAAATTTCTTATGAAGGAGACAAAATAAAAGATAGGAATGATATAGCAATAAATTCCAATAATCCTTTACCTTTTATCAGTAAATATAATTTTCTTCTTTCCCCATATCAGAATGTAGTCCCTCAATTACAATAATTCGAGTAATCGAAATATTCTGATCAATAAATTCAGCTACACCTTTTCCTACAAATCTGCTGTTCTAACAATTTCAGGATAAACTTGAGTAATTCCACGATCTTGCTCGGCATATGTAATAAAAACAGTTTAGCAATTAGAAAGGCAATTTTATCGAATTAATAATGTAATAAAAGCTAACAAAGCTTTTACTGTTTTGTTATAGTAGATCATATTATTAGACTAAAGTGTTACTAACCCTTTGCACTCGAGAGGCCATCTTCAGTCCCCATTGAATAAAATCGAAATTAATATCGAAATTAAACAATTCTACGTGTTAATTATTATAAGGCTTTTTATTTACTGTTCTAAAAAATATCGTCAACTTTTTGGCAGAAGATCTTTGAATTTCTATTCTTCTATAGCGAAAAGATCGTCGAGTGCAAAGGGCTAACAGTAAGAAATCTGGTTTCAGGGAGGCAAACAATGGCAATGGTGGTGGTAGTATGGTGGCCACGAGCAGGATAAAGGAGAAGAAAAAAGATAACCACGCCACTCCTATGGAAACTAGCGACGAGGAAGCCCAATCGATGGACACCATTGGTAAGTTTCGTTAAACAAATCTAACTCTATTTTTTTTTTTTAACTTTTTTTTTTTTTTTTTTTTTTTTTTTTTTTTTTTTTGTAATTTATAAGTCACATACTTTATGGGTTATTTCTTACTTCTTTATGGGTTATTAGCAACCACATAAGATTTACGTATTAACATAATGTATGTGCTAATTGTTTAGGCTAGATTGGTTGAATAAGTTTGATGTCACACATTTTATTATAACAAGGTGTTAAATAAGAAAACTTTTTTCTTAATCTAAATTAATTGATGAAAGATTATCTAAAGATAAGATGATTGAAATCGTGTCAAATGGAAAACTGTTTAATGTTTTAAACAGGGTCGAATGAAAGTAAGAGTAGAATTTGTAAATAGAATTAACGCAGTATATGAAAATTAATTTTCATCTGTATTTATTTTTATCTCTTAATGCCTAATCATTCCATTTACAATTTTTGAAATTGGTGTTTGTTAGTATATACACGTTTGAATAATGCTATTAAAATTTATGCAGCTTTAAAATCGTTAAGTATTTATCAAAACATTATTATAACACAGTTAACTATATCTTCGAGGCTGAAGGTTTATTATTGTACATTACTTCGTTATTAATTAATGTTTTGATACATAAAGTTGCATGAAAAACGAATTCGTGTAATATAATCACGATAATTTAACATACTTATCACCTTATACTATATTTTGTCATAGATACGAATTTTTTTAAACAAATTATTTCTTCGAAATAATTTCTAATAATTTTTCGAAGTAGCTTTTAATAATTCTTTTAGTTTTCTTTTAATAAATCAGAGTTCCGATATACTTCCTAATATTATTTATTCTTAAGCAAATCGTTTTTTCGAAATAGTTTTCGGTACTATACACTATGGTGCAGTGATATAAATATCTACGATAATTACAATAATAATAATTCTCAAATATCCAGAATTTCTCTCTTTCCGTGGGAAATTAGTAGAAAAACATTTTTATTTAATTTCAATACTTGAGATATTTCGATTTTATAATGTGTCGAATTTTTTTCATTTCGAAATAATCCACCGATTAAGTTATTGAAATTATAGTGCTTCTAGTCCCCCTCCAGGTCTAGATATGTCATAGTAGTAAATAATTCGATTATCGATTGCTTTAAATGCATCTTTATCCAGTTGCTTCTATTGCTATCTTCTTGTTCTCTCAGAACACTGAAACATTGTAAGTTTATGTCAGTTGTCTTCTCTATTGCATATTATTATTACAAGATACAATGTCATTACATGTACACGTATAATACATAGTATAATCAAATTTCCTATGCGGTATTACAATCTAATACATTCGTAACCAATGGTGTTAAAATTAGAATTAAAATTAACCCTTTGCACTCGAGAGGCGCCCTTCAGTCGCCATTTGATAAAATTTTGGAGATTCATTAATATGTGAAATTTAATATAATGTAACGGTGTGTACGGTATCGAAATCAAATAATTCTACGTGTTAATTATTATACGATTTCTTATTTACTGTTCGAAAAAATATCCTCAGATTTATGGCAGAAAATCTTTGAACTCCTATTCTTCCTTAGCCAAAATATGGTCGAGTGCAAAGAATTAAAATTAAGGTCAGAGTTCCAAAATTTGGTGTCAGTATTCAAATAGTAGAATTAAAAGCATTCATACTTATATGTAATTGCAAAGAATGGTCATTGAAATTTATTTTATTTACTTTTAGGGTTATAATTCATGTGCATTTACACTTTGATATTCAGTAAAATTTCCATTATTAATGTATTAACATTTTCTAATTTTGTTTATTTATTTTCACTCTTATTGTTCGCTTATTTTCATTAGTATTCTCTGTTAGTTTATATCAATCTCAATGTACCTTTATATGATATCTCGATGTTATCCAATATCATACATTTTATTTCAATTTTTATATCCAATTTATTTCTATAAAAGAAGGAATCTACTTTGCTAATTTACATATCAGTTACTATACCTTGGTATTATTTAACTTTATTTATTTCCATTTTTACTTAATTAACATTAGGTATGTAGAATTTACTTTCACGAAGGATAAAAAATCAATTTCCTCAATTATTTGTTATTTGCTAGCATTAGCCACCTTTATTCATTTATTTCAGTATCAATTTCACATCAAGACACTTATCCAGTGTCATGTCCAAGTTATCTCTACGAAACAAAGAATCTATTTTGCTAATTTAAATATCAATTAATATGTTCTACTGTCATTTAACTTCATTTGTATTTCCATTTCCATTCTCGCCTAATTAACATTACGGTTTAGTTCATGAATATAACGAACTCGTGAAACACAAAGAGTCTATTCCCACAGTCAGCTGTTAACACGTTTACATCGATATAAATCTTCACGTATCCAATGATACGTTCAATTTACCTTTAAAAGACGAAGGATCTTCATCCTCATTGTCTCTCGTTATTCGTCGTCGAGGTGGTCGACTCCTGGTCCTCGGTAGCTGTGCTGTTAGCCTCGTCAGACTGCGTCCTCTCTTCTGTATTCGCATGACACAGTTTTCTATGCTTGTGCACGAAATAGTAGCTCGGGAACTTACAGCCACAGATCTTGCAGGGATAATATTGAACATTCAGATCTAGCAATCGAACCTCTCTTCTATTTCTAGCAGTCTCCTGCCTCTGCCTATTCCCGATCGAATCGTTCACTCTGGTCGGTAGCAAGTGCCTCTTGGTGTGTTTTCTATAACAATACTGAGACTTGAAAGTGTGTCTACAGTATCCGCAAGTGTAACTTCCGCTGCTGTTAGCCGTGTCGATCCCAGACTCGATGGGATCACAGGGTGTTCTAACTGCTCCTGGTCCACCGTTCTCGTCGTTCTCGCCTGTTGCGTTCTCTGGTTCGAAGCATGGTCTTTGTAAACGCGACTGAGGTATGGAACTGGAACCACAGGAGGTTGTTGATGAGTAATTCTCGTTTAACACTCGATGGAACTTCACTGGACCGTCGCAGCAAGCCACGTCGTAGACTACTGACAAGACACTAGAGGAACCCTCGTTCTCTCCGTTCGAACTGCGACCTCTTCGTCTGGAGGATCTTCCTCGGTCGTTTTCACTGATAGATACCACTTCGATATTCCTCTCGCGATTACGAGGCACAGTCGAATCCTCCACTGGTGTCACGGGTGATGAACAAGTCTGCGTTTGGTTGTTGCTCGAGTTTGCATGGTCGTAGTCGTTCTCCTCTTTGGTTGGATGTTGGTGGTCCGCTGGTTTCTTGTTCTGGCATGAGGGCACTGAGGATCGAGAGGTCGACGATGGTGTAGGTGAAATGGACTGACAGGGTGAGGAGGTTCTCGTCGATGTGGCCGCGTTAGATGTGAACGCGCTGAACGCCGCTGCGGCTGCAGCCACAAAGGGCAGAGAACTGGATGACACGTTTTCTGGAGACTTGGATCGGTGGTCCATTCTCAGGCCACGAGTTCGGTCTAAGTGGAATAGCGAAGATTTTGGTGACGACACGTCCCTGTTTGCAGAAATTTTAGGTTATGTGTGATTCGATGATTGAGGAAGATGGATTTGGGTAGATACTTATGAGATGTTCACGGTTCTAATCGCATAGTTGTGATTGGTTACTTTGCTTCTTTTCTTTGTTAGGAAATAATATTAGAAATTGGAAATTACTTGGTATAGACAGATAACTGGTATAATTGGTATCTTTGATAAATTCAAGACATTAATTCACAAAATATAGCCCTGTATCAAGCATTGTGAACTTTTCAGTACTAGGTACCTCATTTTCTCAGCTAATTTCTGAAAAGGAATACTCAAACCTCTTTAATCATCTTCTAACTGCATCATCAAATTCTCAGTTAGGTCCACTATTATTTCCCAAATATGAGAAATTCGTGAAATATACTCATCTATTTTTTGAAATAGTCGGTAACCAAATGAACAGCCATTGCATGTCAGACACTGTACCATTCCATCCTCTGTCCAAGACACAATCCACAGGACCCGATGTAAGTACACAGAATTAAATCCACTGTACTCCATCTATACACACGTTTCACAAAGACTAATCTCCATTTCCTTTCCACAGATACCAATCTACACATACATTCTGCCAAATCGCCTATATATTATATCCTCCGCAAACAAAGATTCCGAAACATTTCCTATGATCATCACCCCACCACCTGAACATCCACTAAAAGCAAGATAAGCATGCAAACCTATAAACAGCCGAGTTGTGCGTATCTTGCACGCTCGAGGTCGGTACGACGGAAACGCTGAGTGGAACGGCCGATTGCATCAGCACCGACGGTTGCAGCTGGGGTAAATGCGGTATACCGATGGATGCGGGTGCTGGCGCGGTCGGCGGATAAAGAGGCGCGGTCGGTGGCCAACACATGCTCGGGTCTATCATCAGTCTGTTGGGTATAGGCCTGAGTATGCTTCCTGAGCCTGGCGTCGACGTGGACATCGAGGTTGACGTCAACGTCGACGTCGAGCCCGGTGGCACAGGTATCGGCGTAGGCAGTGGTGGCGGTGCCCTCAACCTGAGCAACGCGGCTCTGCATTGCTCCAGTGCTCCTGGCATGTGCAACAAATGCGTGGCCAGTAGCACGCTGTACACGTTGTCCAACGTCACTTCCAGCCGGCCGGTGTACATGTAGTTCAATAATGGAGCGAAAGCTTCTCCACCTAGAAGTTAGGATTTTTAGAGAGAGGATAAGCGATTTTAGTATATGATTCTTTGTCATTCTGATCCAGACTTTTCTGAGAGGTTAGAGCTTTGGTGAATGGTTTGAGGACATT